TGTACAGTATGTAAATTAGGTACCGTAAGTCTAATACAGCACTAATTTTATACATTTCTTGTGAAAGAAACATTTCTTATTCAATGGCCATAAAAATTATTTCTATTAATAAAATCTCCAAAGGTCAACAAATTTTTCGCAAAAAAATAATTTATCAGAAAACGCGGCCGCCGTTTGGTGCGCTGCTCTGTGACGAAAACAAGCATAAGCAATGGTGTAGTCGAACAGTGCACACTCGGTAAGTAATCCTACAATTTTTTGTTTATAGCATAGTTTATACGGATTATTCCCAAAAAATTATACGTGTTTTGGAAATGTTGAGTCAAATTAGTCTAGAATCGGTTAATTTTATAGAAGAAAACCTTTCAAACAGCCTTAGTCCATAAACTTCACACGTGTCGGGCTGTGATTGGCTCATGTATTTAAGGATTCCTACAACGTAAAATTCTTATAAAGTGGAATGTATCTAAGCGTTATAGGGGAGTATACCGTATTTTTTAAAAATTAAATACCATCAGCCAACTTTTAAAGTTTTACTTTAGCTATGTATTTATTAATTTCTGATTTGAACTTCAGTTTCAAATGATTGTGAAGATAAACATTAACAAGTAAAACAGAAAAAAATGAAGTTTATTTAGCTTCTTCAAATCATATCACACAGGCTTCTATTAATAAAACAGTTGAAAATAAAGTGACTAAGGTGACCAGAACAAAGTCTGGTGATTTTCAATTATTATATGATGCAACACTTAAAGAATACTAATAGCTTAAAAAGAATAGTTTTATTGAATTATGAGAAATTTCTCTACTTTTCAAATAAGAATGTTTAAGTTTAAAAAAAAAAAAATACACTAAGAATAAGGCTGAAAGTTAAAATTAAATATGATGCTATTTGTTGAGATGTTATTAAAAAACAATCTTTGTATTATTAATTACTATAAAAAGTTTTGCCTTTTTATAATAATTAATAAAAGCCTTATTTTTGAGGGTAGATGTTTTTGTAAAAATTGTAAATGCATATAAGGAAGTTTTTTATCCTAGTGAAGATATGACATATGACCTTTGTCTCCAATCCTGCTTGACCTTTAACCATCAAATTTTAATAGCGTCAATGCTCCACATATAAAAAAGTTTAAAAATTTTTTGTTTCATCCAGCCCTGAGATATAATGCAAAATAGGTGCCAACACACACATATTTTTGTAAAGGGTCTTTTTTTAAATTTTTGGCTTCTGGAGCGTCAGAATATGAAGAAATGCAAAAAGTACTAGGAAAACCAAAATCTGACCGACCACCATACTCTATAAGAGCCAGAAAAGTAAAAGAAAATAATAAAATTTTTCATAGCTTAGTAAAATGTTCTGTATAAAAAAACTGAATATTATATATACATCTTGAGCAGATTAATTGTATATAAGTCAAATTTATGATTAAAAATCATACCAAAACTGAACACATTAGTTAATTATTTAAAAATACAAATTTAAAAACAAATTAAATAAATAAACAAATAAATAAATGCTATTTTCAGGAATCAAACAAATTGTTTTTAATCAGTAATGTTTTTGTCCTTTTATAAGTACATCTTCAGCAGAAAATGTTACTGATTAAAAAAAATTTGATTCCTGAAAATAGCATTTATTTATTTGTTTATTTATGAATTAAATATTTACAAAATTCAAAAGCAGTGAATTAAAAATAAATGAATAACATGCTTAAAATACCTGAAGATGTAAATTTTCTTTTTCAGTTTCTAAATGATGGAGTTTTTCTTGTGTATCTTCAAAATCTTGTCCAAACCCTCCAACCTACAAAAACAATTAACATTTATTAAATTGAACTAAAATTTTAGTATGTAAAATGCTTGATTAAAATAAAATTTTATTAATACCTATACATTTTCTAACTTGTAAAGACAAAGAATTTTTGTCACAATATTGTTGTTATTGCAAGTTGTCATAATACAAATGTATAATCAAAGATGCATTTGATGTATCTTTGAATATAACACTATGTCAATTGATATTTCTGATAGTAAAATGTCAAACACTTATTATGATAAATTTTCCATTCTGTAAATAATGAAAATAATCCATTGAGAATGTTTTTATATATTTTTCTTACATTTCAACACTCCATAAAGATAAAACAGAAGCAGTCTAACCTAAACCTCTATAAAGTCTAAACACTATTTCTTGTTAAAGAAGAAATAAAAACTAAATCATTAAAAAATAAATAAATAAAAAATAGTAAAACATTTCAACAAAAAAAATTAAAATGGTCTTTTGAAGTTGGCCATACAAAAACATACAAATACAGAAGATACAAAAAGTCTTCGAAATCACCAGTTTTCCAGTGACACCCAACTTTCATCTACAGAGAGGATCTTTGTATGGATTGCAACACCTCTGTAATGAACTGTTTGTTTTTTAATAATGGCAATGTCATCAGAGGACATTATACAAATTTGCAATATTGTAGAGGCATGATCTCCATAAAAGGATTGTTTCTGTAGATGAAGATTGTATAATGCTGGTGTATTGTGAAGATGGATGTTCAAAGACTTTTTGTATCTTCTGTACTTGTATCTTCTGTAACACATAATGTAAGAACATTTTTATTAAAAATGTTCTTACATTATGTGTTACAGAATTATTTTCTATTGTGTATGATAAATTTACACAATAGAAAATAATTTTTAAAATATTTTTAAAGTGTAATTATGTTAATTATTTTCCTTCTTCATAAAAAGTAATTTATTCTTATTTATGTTTGATTGATTTCATGAATTATTACTAATATACTTTTATTAATATTTTCAAATCCAGTTTTATATCAACCCAATATTTTGCTAATTGGAAGCTTTTGTATTATAGAAAATTTTAAGTTTGCTTTCCTTAAATTTACATTACAAAAAAATCATTGTATAATAAATATAAGTATTATTATGTATAGATAAAATATTGCAAACAATAATATTTTCAGTTAAAGAACTGTTAGGAATTAATTTGATAAAACTTAAAATTAGTTTAAATTAGTATCTTTCTGAATATTTTATATTTACTATACTATTATACAAAACTCCTTCACAAATTACTTATTTACTCATACTGTTTAAATTGCTATCTCACACAGCTTTAGCATATCACACAGCCTATCTCACTCTATGCTTGAACAGAAGAGAGTAGAAGAGTTTCCAAATTTCTATTCTTTTAGTTAATAAAGTCTGTTTGATAAATTACCTAGAAGTTCTTGTGTGATAACTTCTCTAAAGCAATTTTATGTTCAATTTCAACAACAGAGTAGAATTAATATAAAGAAATTGCTTTTTGCCCTTGGTTTAATTAAATTAATTAAAATCCTACTATGTGAGGTGGGAATAAGGACTTATCATACCAGTGATAATAAGCACAAATACCCAGGTATCAATCACTGGTGTGATAAGTCCTTATTCCCACCTCACATTAGTAGGTTTTTAATTAATTTAAGAGAGTAGAAGTTAAAAGAAACTAATAGATGTAATATCATCATGAAAATATTCACCAAACTAAATTTTTATGTTAATATATTTTAAAATTTGCAAAAAACAATAATTAAATGTAAAAAAATAGTAGTTTTAAAAAAAGACATTTATACTCCAAAAAAAATTATTAATAATTCAATTTTAAAATTAAAACTAGAAAAATTAGAATGTTTAAAAAAATACTGTTTATGTTTCTAAATTTTATCAAAGATGACACTAAAATTAAGCTTAATAGCTGTTCCTTTTTCCTTTGAGATTACCAACTCCATCATCATACTTAAAAAACTAAAAACTACTAATAAAGTTCGGAGAGTCTCCATTTATTATGATTAAACATTCTTAGGATGATTTTCATTCCATCATTAAATAACAATCACCATTCAAACAGACTCAAAAACATTAGAGTAAAACAACTGACTCAAATTGGGCCTATCTCTTTCTAAGACTATTTGCTATATAAAAAAGAATAAACTTTAATCATTTATATTTTAATCTTTAAAATTGAATTTAATAAAAATATTTAAATGTAATTATAAATAAATTAAATATAATCACAACTTATCATATATTCAACAGATTTATACTTTAAAATAGCATATATACAATCATCATCGTCATAATTAGTATCTTTCAATTAGAATATCATCATATATTAACATAACTGGCACTATATACATATTTCATTTTATTAACATAAGTATGCATAGTTAAATAGTATAGTTAACATAGTTAGCATAAGTATGTATAGTTAATAAACAAATAATATGCTAAACATAAAACATAAGGGATCAGTTTGGCATTTGAATATTGTGCAAAATAGTACTAGCTCACATATTTGTTTTTGGAATCTTCCTCTGCCTAATTTTTGGTCTATTCAACTCTTTAAAATGAATTTTAGATATAAAGGCAGATAAAGCATGATTCTAAAATCACATAATTACATTCTCACATCTATAATTGAGAATTATTTCAATCTCTATGCTATTGTTCCAGAGAATTTATAGTACTGTATATGAAAGCATGGTTTATTCTTACAACATCCATAATATAATTCTAATTTATAAACCAAATAACTACTAAAAATAAAAACTTCGGACAAGAAAAAAGAACCTATATATTTCAGTAACTGAATAAATATAACAAGAAAAAATCAGTTGTTATGGATACAGATTCTATTCTCATGTAGAGCCAAACAGATTATTCTATTCTGTAAGACGTGGAATCCATATTCTGTTTTTATTTTTTTGAATTCTCTTATACAGTACAATTTATACTTTGGAATTTATTTGTTTATTAACATATTAGCCACTTTGTTATTAAATAAATTATAATAAATTTATTATTCAGAATATAATATATTTTAATTATTTTTCACCTTATTATTTTTCTTCATATCAGCATCCAGCGGATGTTGAAAATCAGTAAAAAAGCATTCATTAGACTCTACGTCAAGATCGTGATTGCAGCTACTTCTCAACGTTCGTGGGAAAGTTTCGTAAGGAGATAGCGAAGATGAGCAAGCCCCTCTATCGCTTATAGATTGTGAACGAATAATATTGGTTTGATTATGCCAACAGTGAAATCTGCTTGGTACGTGAGTGAGATACCAATTGCAGAAATGGTGACTAATTCTAGAATGTGAAAAATCATGATAAAAATTTTTATCAAAAGGTGAAATATCCATTTCATGTTGACAAAAAACATTTCTAGAAGAAACGGTACAGCAATTTGGAATACAGTTATGATGACAATTATGATAGCATGCCATTGGTTTATTCTGATTCAAAAATTGGGAATTATATTTATCTTCTGAGCTTGAAGGAACGAATACTCCTTCGTGTTTTATATCAGATTTGTAATTTTTAAAATTATTATTAGGATTTGACTGCTTGTCTTTTTCAGCTTGTTCTGTTGAAGAGTCATTACGAACTTGTTTATAGCTATCTATTTTAGTAGCAGAGATAGCAACTTCATTTTTATTACTTAAAATGGATGGACTTTTTTCATTTCCAAAATTTCTAATGGATAAATCAGAATTTATTTGCTTTTCAGTTTTTGAATCAAACTTTGACTGAATCCATTCAAATTCATCAGAAGTGACTGCAATTTCATTTTCTGGTGATAATTCATCGTCGTTGTCATCATCATCATCATCAATATCCACACATTCTTCATTATCATTACATTCATCCTCATCGTCATCTATTAGTTCCATCAGTGGGGAAGGATGATATTCCTCTGCAAAAACCACAGGAGACGTAATGTTGTGCACAAAATCCGAATCAACTACAACAGAAAAGTTGTCTTCGGCCATATCTCTTAATTAATTTGTAGAATGGCAACAGAACAAATTCTTAATTGAAACATAGCACAATCTCTATAAGTAATATATATATTTAAAATATATGATTATAAAACAAAATAATAATTTAAATTAAAATTTTAGCCTTTCTAGCATAAGTATAACAAATTTTCCCTAATTTTTGGAATTTTTCCAATTGGCCATAAATCAATTTTGACCTTTATAAACGCAATACTCTTTCTTTCTCTCCGATTTACCTTAATATATAACTCTCACCATTATCACAATGACAAATCAAGGTTCAAAACATGTTTCCATTCCTGCAGATATAACGAGGGAAGCGTTAAAAACGTAGAAATTCGAACTACGACAACAAGACGAGGCACAAGCAACTACACAAAGAATAAGAGACGATGAAGCACACTCCGTCCGATTTCGTCTAAATATAGTCCTAACATCAACGTATGACCAGTGAAGGAAGTCAGCCTCCTTAGACGTGAAAATGTTTTTCTTAAAAAAAAAATAAAGGGAAAGTAATACAAGTTCTTTGCAGAAACTTCCAATTCGAAGAGAAGTATTAGTAAAATTTCAGTTTATTTTCTCAAACTTTATTAAAAATACAACAAAAAAATAAATAATTTTTTACCCATTAATTAAAAATATTTTTTTAATTAATTTATTAAGTAAAAATTTAAACATTTTAATAATTAAGCATAAAACTTCACACCTTTTCCTCTGATATAAGCGTGAAATAATATACTAATGAAAACCTTGTTCCAGTTTCTATATATTTTAAGTAGGTCCCTATTAAAAATAGAATAAACCAAGACGTGGAAAAAAATAAAGCGCAAAATATACGAAATTAATATTTAATTTAATTAGTAATCCGTCTATAATTAGAAATTAATCGAGGCTTCGAACAAAATTTAAAATATAAACTTATACCGAAAATACGCCTGGCAAAAGATACGTGAAACCTGATCTATTTTCAACAACTTTCTCATAAAAAAATAAAATAAAAATAAGTGATAGTTAGCCCACATCTCTGCTGCCAACTGGGGAGAGGTTTATAAAAGAACTTGCTGTTAAATTTTTATCTAAATGCACGACNTTATTATTATTTTTACAATTTTATTTCCACAGTTTTGTGAAAATATGTTCATTAAAAAAATTCAATATTTGTTTTATATTATATAATAAAATCGTGGTACAGAACTGCAGTACAGAATAAAAAAGTACAGAACTCCCATGCATTTTGCAAAACCTACATTTCGGCTCTCACTGAACTCTTGCTTGCCCACCCCTATATTATACAGTTAACACTTAAGAATAAGAATGTTTATTATTATAGTTATATTTTAATATGTATGATTTTTCTCACATTAATGTTAAATAATAAAACATAACAAAAACAAATTATTTTGTAATGCATGTTATTGTTTTAAACTTTATTTTATGAATTACAATGTAAGAAGAAGGATGTGTTCACTGACAGATATGTATGTCTTGGATAATGGTTAATTGGGGTTTGAGTAATCAGGGTTCTACTATATTTGTTCAATATATATTTGAAGTTAATCTCAACAAAAAATTAATAAATATATACCTCCAATTTTTTATACTTTTCTTCAATATCTCGCCTTTCTTGTTCAGCAGTGGCAAGTCTTAAACGAAAAGTAGATACTTCACTCATTAGATCGAGCTTGCTATTTTCAATGTATGATCGAGACATGAGCTCCTGTAACATATTTATAAGTATCAATATTTGAAAAATAAAATAACTGAATAGTGACTAATTTCTATATTTTTAATATCAACAAACATAATTTAGCAAACAATTTTATTCATGCACTCTAAGCTGTTAAATGCAATATTTGATACTTAAGAAGGATCAGATCTTGATGAAAATGTTTCTTTTGTTTAATAAATGTTGCTTTCCAAAGAATTAATGACTTTTTTATTTATATACCTATTAAAATATTTAAATTTACAAATTTAATACACATTGTATAAAAATAAGGGATTTAAAAGATTTTTTGTTCTTCGATTTACGATGTACAAATCAAACTGTTTACTTTAGAAAACCAAAAATATTTATTTTGAAATATTATGATCTCACTTTGAGTTGTCTCCAGAATATATAAAAACTGAATGTGTTTTATTTTCTACTATAACATTTTAGTGGAATTTTAGAACAATGCCTGTATTCCAGTATGCGTAAGTCTCAGGTACATTTGTAAAGTCGAACAAGTTAAACACATTAGTAACGAATCATTCAAAAAGTAGCAGTCTCGCTCAGTGCGCATGCTCTGCAGTGATGACATTTCCGAATGAAACTCTAATGAAGTTCACAAAGGAGAGAGTTAGTTCACTTTGCTAAGAAAATGGCGTACGACAATATCAATGTTTCTAAATCTTCTCAAATGTTTAAACTATGAATTAAAAAGTGAAATGATAGAAATAACTGTCCACCTGAAGTAATCTAAGAAAAATATTTTGGATAAGGCTGCACTAGCAACATTTTAGAAACAGCCATTTAGTTATAAACAAATCGGTTGAAAAGTCTAATGAAATAAGAATAACGATGATGTCATTCTCATTTAACTCATTTGACTTTACAAACGTACCCTCAATTATAACCAATGCACCAGTGAATGGGTTAATAAGCTTTTATTGAAACATCTGGCACGCTAATAAAATGGAGGAAGCAAACAGCACTTTATTGGCATTTGCAAACTTATTTTGTCAAAGTAACTTTGGGTTAATACAGATAAGTAGTAAAAATACTGTTAATAATAAAACCATGGAAGCAGCCTTATTGCTATCAGAGATCACCATATCCACAGCCTGACAAGTTCATTATGCTGCACCAATAAACTTGTCGGCAAATATCAAAACAAATTTTAGTATGTCATGATTAGCTGATGCACTATTTGATACATAGTGGAATGTATTCAATGTTTTAATACACATTTACATTATATTTATTAATGTACAGTACATATTTTAACATATTAAAATGTATGTTAAAAGTTCAAAATTGCATACATTTCAAAATAAATATTTTTGTTTCCTAAAGGAAGTTTTATCTTATGATTTATCACTATTATGGTGTCAAGTTTTGTTTCATCATAGATATATAAGGTAAATAATGGAGTAATACATGTGATTAGAACTAGATACCAGGTATACCTCGACTTACGTCGTTTCGAGTTATGTCGTTCCCAATTATACGTCGTTTGTCAAAAAAGTATATGGAAAAATAAAAATCAAGTTTAAGTCATTTTATTTGACTTTACGTCTGTCCGCCACAAATATTGAAGTCGTAATATCACTAGAAAAGCGTTTAAAGCACATAAAATCATATTAAAATATATACA